CCCCCACCAATCTGCACTCCATGCACTTAGATCTAACCCTCTGAGGAAGGGTCACCAGACCCAAAATGTTCACTCTGATTTTTTCTTCACAGATCTGCCAGACCTGCTGAGCTTTTCCAGCAACTTCTGTTTTTGTTCCTGATTTACAGCATCTGCAGTTCTTTCATTTTTTAAAAAATTCTGGAGCTATTTGTGCACTCTGTGAAGGCTGTGATGCCATAGAAACCACTAGAAGATTAAGTGAATGAAGGACAGCCCATACCAATATTTGAGATAGGGTTTAATAGGGTCAAGGTACAATAAATATCACAATGTACACTGAAGAAACGTTAATGGAGGGATTGAGGGTTAACACACAGTGGCCACAGCCACAAGGAGCATCATTTGAGATTTTGGCCAGGTTAGTTTTGGCATTGTGGGCACAGTGGACTTCAGACTGAAGACATCAAAACATAATCTTCTGAAGAGATGGACATGGAGCTGGACTGAGGAGGTGATAACAGGTTTAAATATCTTGAAGACCAAAGGGAAGTTAAGTGATTGGAGGATAATTGAAGAAAATGGGTAGGTTAGGTTGGACTTCGTAACCAAACAAAATAGATCTTAATCCATTGGGCTGATGTCATATTTCTAACTCACTGGGCAGTGAGCAATGTGATGGAATGGCTGATGAAGCCACACATTGATATCCCCAACAGAAGACAGACACGAGCTAATACATGAGCTCAGAGTGAGAATCCACTGGACATGAAGCGTGAGGACCAGACTAGGAGCAAACCATTCTAGGAACCTGGTGCTTTCCTTTGGGAAACAGGAGAAAAACATTGGGAGTCACCCAAGGTTGCTATCATCCATTTCTTAATGGGCAGGTTAACAGTAGGTCTCCAGAGGTCTGAACAGAGTACTTCATTGCAAGACCTGAATAGACTGAGGGGAAGAAATATCACTGAAGGACTGCAGCACACAATATAAATTGGATTTTCTAAAGGTTACTCAGCATGAACAGCACATAAAAAGAAAGAATAAAACTATTCTTAAACCTTTGCTTGTACCTTAGGTAAAAGGAATCTTTCCACTGGTTTATACCACAGTTGGTTCACTTGTACTCCAGAGCTGAGCGGACTGAAGCGGGCACTGGCAATCACCTCCTGGTAAAATATTCACATAATAATACAGCATCAACTTACCACTAGGAGACTTTATAAACAACAGGCTAGAGTTCCAACAAGTCGTTACAGTGCTGCCTAGTTCAATCCATTTCCGGTGCAATTTGCCAGCTAATCATTTGGTTACCTCAAGCAACACAACCTTCTCAAGAGACAGTGATAAGGGGTCAATGAGAGCAATGCCAATGACACAAAAGTGCCTTTTAAAAAAATCAATCAATAATAGATTGAGACCTGTTCTGATTTTAGCCCAAGTCTAAAATGAGCATCACAGTGCTGGAGGTGATTACAGAGAAAAGCAGCATTGTAGGGGCTGGAGGCGGTTACAGAGAAAGGGAGGGTTTTAGGAGCTGGAGGAGGTTACAGAGAGACGGGATGTTGTAGGGCTGAGGTGGTTACAAAGAGAGGGAGTGTTCTGGGGGCCGGTGGAGGTTAGAGAGAGAGGGAGGGTTGTAGGGGTTGGAGGAGGTTACAGAGACAGGGAGGGTAACAGGAACTGGAGGAGGTTACAGAGAAAGGGAAGGTTGTATGGGTTGGAGGTGGTTACAGAAAGAGGGTGGGTGGTAGGGGCTAGTGGAGGTTACAGAGAGAGGGAATGTTGTAGGGGCTGGAGGTGGTTGGGGGGAAGAGAGAGAGAGAGACGGAGGGTTGTAGGGGCTGGAGGAGGTTGTGGAGGAGAGGAGGGCTGTGGAGTCTGGAGAAGGTTACAGAGAGAGGGATGGTTGTAGGGCCTGTGCAGATTACAAGGAGATGCACAGCGTGAGGCTTTTAGAGTTATTTGAACATTGAGAATTTCATATTTGAGCACTGCTAGCTGTGGAGCCAACTTAAGTCAGCAAACACAGAGCTGAGGAAGAAATTAAATTTGGTCTGAGTTATGCTGCATAATTTTGGATCTGTTGAAGTTTATGGTGGGTGCAGGATAGTAGGGTGGCCAAGAGTACATTGGAATATTTTAAGCTGGAAGTAGCAAATGCATTGATGAGACTTTGAGCAACAGACGTGCTGAGACAAGAACTGAGATAAGTGAGATTATGGACGTAGACAAAGATGGTCTAAGTGATGGAGAAGATAGGAGGTTGGAAGCTCAGCGCAGGGATTAATAGGATGTCATGACTGATTGGGGAAATTTACCTCCAATGTGGTTTGGTAGAGTCGGACAGTCAGATTCTGATGAAAACCTGCTCCTCTCTGATCATGGAATACCCCAAGTCTTGTAATAATGATGGGATGGAGAACTCGGAAGTCAATCTTTGAAACCTTGCTCCCCAGCAATGTTGAAGTGGTAGTTCCAAACAGACTGACAGCTTCAATTTCCTGGCCTATAACTGCAAAAAGAAAGAAAAAGAAGATTTACATTTCTATAGCATTTATCACAGCCTCTGGACATTCCAGAGTATTGTACTTTACAGTCCATAAGTACATTTGCAGTGACATCACTGTAGTAATATAGGAACTACACCACCCTCATACACCAAGCTATACAGTAATAACTGGATCATCAGCCTGAGTGAGACTGATGGGAAATAAATACCAGCTGAGGGAAAACACTGGGGAGAATGCTCATCTTCAAAGGAGAGATTTTCACATCTGATTAAAAGGGTGGATAGGGCCTCAGTTTAACATCTCATCTGGAGGACAGCATCTCCAGCACTGCAGTGCTCCCTCCCTAATGAGTGTCGGCTGAGATTGTGGCCTCATCATAAGTAAGATTTGGAACCACAAAGTTCTGACCCATAGGTACAAATGTTGTTTACTAATTCATGGCTGATACAGTTAGATTAATATACAGGACAGAATCAAATTCACACCCTTAACTAATAAATGTTTCTTTGTATTGGAATATTGAAACATGAAGAACTTAATGACTTATATCTATATTAAATTATTGGCTTCATTATAAATTAACCTTACCTGCTTGTCACAGAGTCAGGGAGGTGATGGCCTAGCGGTATTGTTGCTGGACTATTAATCCAGAGACCCAGATAATATTCTGGGGACCTGGGTTCGAATCCTGCCACAGCAGACGGTGAAATTTGAATTCAGTAAATATCTGATAACCATGAATCCATTGTCGATTGTCAGGAAAAACACATCTGGTTCACTAATGCTCTTCAGGGAAAGAAACTGCCATCTTTACCTGGTCTGGTCTGGCCTACATGTCTCTCCAAACCCACAGCAATGTGGGTGACTCTTAACTGCCCTCTGGGCAATTAGGGATGGGCAATAAATGCTGCCTAGCCAGCGATGCCCTCATCCCGTGAATAAACAAAACAAGAAAATCAGCACATTAGGCCTCTTGGGCCATTGCACCAGCTGACTGACAAAACTACTAAATTACTCCCATTCATCTTATATTTTCCCCCAAACCACAAATTTATCTTTGATATTATTGAAAATCCTTCCACCACTCCTTCAGGGATCTCCAGATTATAACAAGTTGTTGCTAGAAATAAATTATTTCCTGAACCAGATCTAAGATATGGGGTAGGCCATTTAGGAGTCAGATGAGGAGAAATTTCTTCACCCAGAGAACGGTGAGTCTGTGGAATTCTCTGCCACAGAGAGTGAGTGAGGCCAAAACATTGAATGTTGTCAAGAAGGAATTAGATATAGTTCTTAGGGCTAAACAGATCAAAGGGCATGAGGAGAAAGCAGCGACAGGACACTAAGTTAGATGATCAGATATTATCATATTGAATGGCGGAACAGGCTCGAAGTGCCAAATGGTCTATTCTTTCTTCTATTTTCAATGTTGCCATGTTTCTCAGTTTGCACATGGAGCTCCATGAAATGGGGAATACAATCTAGGGGGTAGACCCCTACTTACTTTGACTCCTATACTTGCTTAAACTCTGTTATCGTGGGAATGGCGGGTGCAGGCCGACCTGGGAATGGGAAGAGCAGGGTGCCTGGAGATAGAGAAAGAGGTGACTGCGAGGAAGTGGGATCTTGAATGTTTTGCTGCAGCTGTCCACTCCTGAAGTCTGAGTGTTGTTCCAGTCTAGTGAGGAGTGAATGACTGTCTAGGTGCCCTTTAAATATGGCACCAGGACCTTCAACCCTATAAGGTAATGGTAGGAGGTTGTTGAATTCCCACCTGCTCCAGCCACAAGATTCACTGATCATACTTTCAGATTTCCAGTATGTTTGTGTATATTATGTCCTCCCTTCTCAAATACATGAGTACAGCATTTCAATAATCTCCAGCCAGTCTGACCTGGATTTGTAAAGTTGAGCAGCTGACAGGAGTAGGGATCCTCTCTGTCCTCATCAGGAATGTCACAGCCAAAAGTCCCAATTATAAACTTTGCAAGGACACTGCCAGAGACACAAAAAAAATCTACAGTGCATTTCATCATCTAATTTGGTTTACAACCAACGAAGTACGTTTGGAGTAGACATTGTAATTAATACAGCAGCCAATTTGCATGCAGAAAGCTACCCATAAACAGAAATGTGATAATGACCAGATAATCGGTTTAATGGTGTTGATTGAGGGATAAATACTGACCAAGACTTTAGACATAATTACTTGGACACAGTCCCATGGTAAGGAAGGGAAAAGCCAGAGTTGGAAAGGAGGGAATAGAAGAAGGGTACCAGGGGGGCAGGGAGACAGATCCAGTGCACTGGTTAGAGGGCTGTACAGACCCTGTGAAGCTAGGTGCGAAGTGGGGAAAGTGAGACCCAAGGCAATGAGGAGGGACTATAGGCACAGTGAATGGAGGGAACAGATTTTTCGTGCAGAATGCACCCAAGCACAAAGGGACAGCACAAAATCCCTGGTTTATCCAACTGGGCCACATTTGGACTCAGCCACAACCTGTCAAGGCAATCCGACATTCCCCTCACTCTCACCCTGCTACAATGACCACCATTAAAAGGTAAGACTGTGAGAAGTCTGCACGTCATACACTAAAGATATATGCTAGAATCAACATCATATTCAACAATGTCCCTACACATTGAAGAACTGCAGCAGCTCAAAAAGGCAGCTGATCATCACCTTCTCAAGGTGAATTACAGATGGGTAATAAACTTTAGCCCAGCTAGAAATGCCCACATCCTATGAATAAAGAAAATGTTTCAGATCTTGTTCAATGTTCCGATATTTTTGAACAGGAACAGTGGTAATGGTTCTGCTGTTGTTCTGTTGACACCAGCGTACTTAATGAACATATTACTTAAATACATGTTATGTACTTTACACTCGTCACAGAATGGTTCCAGTGCAAAAAGGAGGCCATTCGGAGTATGATGTGTGTGTTGGCTCACTGAAGGAACAGTTCACCTAATGTCACTCACCGAGGCCCTACGTATTCTGCCTTTTCTGATAATCTAATTCCTTCTTGAATGCCTCTCAAGCAAGCATTCTAGATCCTAACCACAGGCTATATGGAGATGTTATTACTCACATTGCCATTGCTTTTTTTGCCAATTACCTTTAAACTGGAGTCTCTTGTTCTTGATCTTTCCACCAGTGGGAACAGTTTTTCCTTATCTACTCTGTCTAGACAGCTCATGATTTTAATATTTCTATTAAATCTTTTCTCAACCTTTTCTTCTCCAAACAAAATAGTCTCAACTGTTTCAATTATCGAAGTGACTGAAGTTCTCTGTCCTTGGAACCATACTTCTGCACCTCTTCTGTCTGATGCTTTCACATCCTTTCTAAAGTGTAGCACCTAGAACTCAGCCTTCCACATTTAGCCTGGCTCTCAGCTGTGTTATTCACACAATATCTGTCATAAGCAGACATTTTCTGTTTCATCCTAATCTGTGTATCATTTGGAAATTTTCTGCATCAGTATGCTTCCAGTGGAATGAGAAAGGAGGCATTTCTAAACCTGACGATGTGAAATGAGGTATACCAGGTGGATCAAGTGTCAATAAGAGAGCATTTAGAGGACAGTGATCATTGTACCATAAGGTTTAGGTTGGTTCTGGAAAAGGACAAGTAACAATATAGATTAAGGATAATTAACCAGGGCAAAGCCAACTTCAATCAGGTAAGAATGGACCTGACCCCGACAAATTGGAATCAAAGAATATCAGGCAGAACTGCAGCTAAACAATGGACTGCCTTTAAAGAAGTGTGTGTTCAACTTGAGACAAGGAGTATTCCCAGCAAAGGGAAAGTTAGAGCAAACAGATTTAACGTTCCGTAGATGACAAATGATACCGGGATAAAAATGAAGAAGAAAAAGTCTGCTTATGACAAATTGTTACAGAGGGGGAATGACCAAACCCCTCTGATAAGTGCCAAAACACAGCCCCAATCTGTTGATGGGAGTCAAAGTTCCCTTCTTATAATGATCCCCAAAACACCCAGAGAAGCTCACCTCACTCTTCATAATCTGTCAAAAGAGTGGTTAAAAGAAAAAAAATCCCTGATCTCCACTTTACAAGTAACAATAAACAATTTATTTATTTGACTCTAACAATGAACAAATTAATAGAATTACTAACAAACCAAACAATTTCCCCCTAGATTACTAACTACTCCCTAACTGAACTAAATTCTACTGGAATGTTGTTCAAATAAACACAAGTCCTACTTATATAAACCTAGTTAATAAGAAAACAATAAATTAAAACTTAATCTCTCCAAGTTCACACAGACTGTCTTCCAGAACACACTGCTTTCTCCAGCCTTTCTTCTGTCGCTGTCACGTCACAAATATGTTTCTGCTGCTGATTCTGCTGTCAGAGATGTTTTTCTCTGAGGACTTTTATCTAGAAATGCCGTGGTACCATTTTAATTAGATGGTGCTTTCAGTGGGATTGGTTCGATGTTGTCAATACCATCAGTTTTTAAATTCAATTGGCTTTAAATCGCTGAATGCTTGGTTTAAACTTATTGGCCAATTTCAAACTTGTTGTCTTCGTAAAACTGCTGCTTGGCTGTTTGATACAAAATGTTTCAATTCAGGCACTTTCTGTGCACAATACTTGTAAACTCCCAGGCACAGACAAAGCACAATCTCTGAAAGGGACCAAGCCCTCTTTCTCCCCACCATCACTTTTTACCAACTATTCTAACTTCCTACTTTCCAATTCATGAATACACCACCCGACTGTAACACAGATGTTGTGTGAGTAATGTAGCCGAGAGCCAGGCTAAATGTGAAAGGTTCAGTCTGGCCCTCTTTTGGTCCAGTGGTAGTATCCCTACCCCTGGTCTGGGAGGCCCAGGTTCAAGTCCCACCTGCTCCAGAGGTGTGTAATAACATATCTGAACTGGTTGGTTAGAAAAATAAGTTAAATTTAAACAAAGTCTGTTCCCTTAACTACTGAATTTCCTATCACTATTACTCTTGTAATCTGTTCTCCCCTGTACAGCTGAGATAATCATGTTTCATGGACTTGTTTCTGGCTACACCACCCAGATGAACAATCATTTTCATCAATATTCAGAATTGAATATTGGTTGGAGAGTGAAATGCATTCAAGATAATACTGCACCACGTACCTGTTTCTTACTGACTGTCTTGTGATCACCCATTTCCTCTCTTCCGGCATAAGCTTGCATATTGACCACACCTATAAACATGCCACCCACCATTAGGTTCTCAGCCTCAGCAATGCCAGCTACTAGTCAAATTCTAAAAGCTGGAGCTCAAGCTACTGCCACTGACAACATTTCCTGCACAAAAGATTATGGAAGATACAGAAAGCATCCTGGAGTTCCCACATAGCATAGGAAGTGTATTTTAGGTCAGAGCATCCCTGCTATTCTTCTATCTACTATAATACTTTTTTAAAAAATCATCAGTTACCTTTATCACCTTCTGTTGAAGTCAGTTAAATAACAGAAAACAATGCTTTATTTGAAATTTTGAAGGTTTTTGTCTCTCGGTTATTTATGCTTAGTTGCTAATTTTGGATATTTAAAAAGAAAAGCTTGCCTGGCCATGGGGAAAGAGAAAAGAGGTGAGCTTATTGGTGGTTTTCTTAAAGAGCTAGAGTAGAGGTGGGGTTGTTGGGAATGGTCTTATGCCATGCTGTAAGATTTTAGAATGCCTTAAGCATTGCAACCACTTTTCCACATCCTCTGCAGAAGCCCTGAACCTTTTGCACTAAGTAACTATTTTTCATATCATTGTGCACTCTTCTCAGCTAGTTTCTAATCTAAAAGCTGTTCAGAAAGAGAAAAATAATTTAAATGCTTTAATAACTTGTGACTCACCGCTGGTTTAGATGCTGTAGATGCCCCAGCCAGGTATTTCTGAGTGCATTGCGTAACTCATAGTGGTGTCGAGCTGACAGTATACCAATCACAATATCGAACTGATCTGTTGTCCACTCTGGCAAAGTAAAGTCAACACTCAAGAGAAGAAATAGAAAGAACTTGTATTTATATAGTGCCTTTTAGTACATTTGGAGAGCCAAAGCACTTTACAGCCAATGAAACACTTTCGAGAAATCTTTTGTTTTTCTTTAGGTAATAATCTTACATCCACCGGAGAGGGCGATGGAAGACTCAATTTAATGTCTAATCTGAAAGTGGTTTCCTGAGTACTGCACTGGAACAGTCAGCCTTGATCATAGCCTCGAATCTCTGAAGTAGGACTTGAACACACAATCTCTGTGTTGGCCTTAAATCAAGAGAACATCAGTAGTTTCTTCCTGCAAAATATACTCTATTCATTAAATTTGTAAAGGTACCTTATGGAATAATTCAACTTTAACATTACAAAATTGTAACAGATTTTTTCGATACATTACGTAGTACTATGAGGTGCCTCACTTCACTTAAAATGAGATCATAAGACCATAAGATATAGGAGCAGAATTAGGCCATTTAGCCCATCAAGTCTGCTCTGCCATTTGATCATGGCTGATCTGTTTCTCAACCCCATTCTCCTGCTTTCTTCCCGTAACCCTTGTACATACAAATTTTAGTTCTAAGTCAAATGTACAGCCGAAGGCATTCTCCACTATTTCCATTCTCCCAGTACCAATGGCAGGAGGGGACAATACATAGGCCTTTCTCATTGAGCTATTGTGGCAGCTGCCCCAAACATTAATGCACATTATGAGTTATTGTAATGATTGGGCGGCACAGTGGCTCCGTGGTTAGCACTGCTGCCTCACAGCACCAGGGACTCAGGTTTGATTCCACCTTCGGGGGACTGTCTGTGTGAAATTTGCACATTCTCCCCATGTCTGTGTGGGTTTCTGCCCGGTGCTCCAGGTTCCTCCCACAGTCCAAAGATGTGCAAGTTAGGTGGATTGGCCATGCTAAATTGCCCATAACGTTCAGGGACGTGTAGGTTACATGTATTAGCCATGGGAAATGCAGGGTTACAAGGATAGGGTAAGAAGATGGGTCTGGGTGGGATGCTTTTGGAGGGTAGGTGAGCTGAATGGCCTGTTTCCAACTGTAGGAATTCTATGGATTCCTCTTTATAAGTTAAATGTCATACTAAACTGCTCAAAACCATGCTTTGTATGGCTCAGAGCTATTGGGAAAGGATAAGAGCATAAGTCTAATTGGAGAATTTGTTCAGAGCCTGGCACAAGCACAATGGGACAAATGGCCTCCTTGTGAGCTGCATGATTCAATATAAAGATAATAAATCATTCAACAAATTTGCACTAGCTGTTGTCTTGATAATCTTGTAAAATCAACAATATTTTCAGACAATTTAGCCATCTTAAAGCAGATGCTATGTACGGACAAAACTGAATGTACTGAATTACAGTGAAAGGTCAAAGACCCCATTATCTCATACTGGAAATATGTCACACACTTATTTAATGTTTTTAATGTAACACTTCACAAGATATTATCGAACAAAATATTACACCAAGTCACATTTGGATAAGTGACTAAAAACCAACTGATGTATGAAGAGAAATGTGAATAAAACACACAAGAGAAGTCAAAACAATTTCCATCACCCTTTATAGGATGCCTCATGAACTGGGTGTGCTGCATTCTCAAGCATCCATTTTATGGCCATTGGCAAAGGCTCGCACAAAGTAACAAGATTTGCCCTGGGAGAGTTCATTGACATTATTCTGTCAGCTAATAAGTTGGAGGAGGTAGACTCGGGCTTACAGCAAACAGTGAACAAAGTCAATTTTATTGTCGAATTAAAGAATGTCTACACAATGCAGCAAACACAGGCTATTCATCAGCAAAATGTGTCAGTATATTCTTCAAACAACAAAGTTACAGGCTAATCATAGCACAGTTTGGTGTGAAGTAGAACCCACAATATGAGATTCTCTTCCAATAGGATCAGAGCTTCAACAATCATTTGCATAAATGTCTAAATTTCTCGCTGCCTGGGGTGCCTAGGTAAAACTGGGGTGCTGTTCTCATTAGAGTAGGGAAGAGTAAGGAAAGATTTAATAAGTATTATGTAGTCTTGAAAGAATAAATGAGGACAAACTGTTTCCAATGTCAGTACAGTCAAAAACCAAGAACTCAATTGACTTAAGTCAATTTGCAAAAAGGTCAAAGTAGGGGGAAATGAGACTAATTCTTTTTACACAAGCGGCTTGTTATGATTGTTGTGTAAGATCTTTAGGACCCTGAAGCAAAGTTGTGATGATGTCACAGAGTTCCTCCTTAGTGGGCGTAACTGGCACAGTGTAGGCAGAACTAATTAGAGAACTGAGAGAGATTAATAGAGAGAGAACATGCAGAGAATAGTCTTTCATAACGTAACAATAGTTTACTACATTTAATAATATTTAGTATTAGTATGCAATCGAGTTCTAAAGAAGCCTAAGCTTGGAGGCAATTCTTGACCTTGCCTTCTCACAAATCTGCCAGCAAACTGTTTTGTGGGCATAAAGTCACATGACAAAAGAGCGATCCTACTATCTCTGACAAAAGAGCGATCTGGAACGCACTATCTGAAAAAGTGGCAGAAGCTGATTCAATACTAACTTTCTAAAGAAAATTTGATAAATACTTGAAAATGAAAAAAGCTCAGGGAAATAAGGAAAGGGTATTGAGACTTATTGGAAACCTCATTCAGGCAGCTGGCATAAACTCACTTGGGCAATTAGCTTCCTTCTGTATGATCCAAAAAAAGAGATAACAAAACATATGACAAGTTCGCAGTGTAAAACTGTCTTGCAAATCCTTGGATAACCTTCAATATTTTTGGATAATTTACCCACTTTAAAACAAATGCTGAACCATTTCTCACCTTCTCTGAAGACTCAATTACAAGTATTTTATGTTGGGAAAAGGGCACTTGAATTTTTTCAATTAAAGGTGCTTACCAACCCTTTTGTACAGTATCATCTTCCCCTCTCCTTCCTCTACAGTTTTTATCATTTGCTATCTCTGGCTAAATGGAGTTGTCTCTCAGGTGTTTGTAAACACTGTTCTGAAAATAATAAGTGGACAAGGGTATCATACTGTAATTTACTCTAGCTTTCCCTTTCTGCCAATTTCCCATGTGACAGTGCTGCCAAGATTGGAAACGAAATGCAAACAGCCAAAGACATGAACCAATAGCTTTGGACCAGCTTAGTATTTCACAAATGTGCTGCTGTAATGAGCAACGAAACACATCATTTGACCCAACCAATTCATGGGCTAGTGTTTATACTCCATATTTCACACAAGCCTCATCTCACACCATTTCATCACACCTCAAGAATATATCCTTCTATTGTTTCCCCCCTCATGTAATTATCTAGCTTCCTCTTAAACATTTTACAAAGATTTACGTACTGATAGCTTCCAGCACTTCTCAGTCACTTGAAAGGTGCGAGTCATGAAACTAATTGGCTTGCGATCATTTCTCTCTCCTCAATCATTCTTCAATACTTCTCCAAATATCTTCTCTCCTGATTCTTACTCTTCCTGCCTTTTCTTAATCTCTCTACTTCTGAAGCATCCCTTGAACTTTAATAGCGAGCACAATTTGAGCAAGGCAGTGCATTTGTTCAACACTTCATCATTCCCTAATGACTATATAAAGAGAAACAGAAACATGAAGAAAGTAAAATACTAAACAATTCCACCTCTAGATCTCTTTAAAACATCTGGCTATGTTTGATGCACTATAATCTGAATGTTTATGAAACAAAATGAAAGATTTATAGAGTCATAGAGTCATACAGCATTGAAACAGACTCTTCAGTCCAACTCATCCATGCCAAACACTTTCCCAAATTAAACTAGTCCCACTTGTTTGAAGATGACCTATATCCCTCTAAACCTTTCCTATTCAAGCACCTGACCAAATGCCTTTTAAATATCATAACTGTACCTGCATTTATCACTTAGACAAGTACATGAATAGGAAAGGTTTGGAGTGATTTGGGCCAAGCGCAGGCAAGAGGGACTAGTTTGGTTTGGGATTACGTTCGACATGGACTGGTTGAACCAAAGGGTCTATTTCCATGTTGTATGACTCTATGACTTCCTCTGACAGATCATTCCACATACGAGCCACCCTCTGTGCGAAAACATTGTCCCTCAGGTCCGTAATAAAATTCTCTCCTCTCACTTTAAAAATATGCCCCCAAGTTTTGAACTCCCCCACTCTGGGGAAAAGACCTTTGCTATTCACCTTATCTATGCCCCTCATGATTTTATAATCTCTATAAAGGTCACTCTCAACCTCCTCTGCTCCAGTGAAAAAAGTCCTAGCCTCTGCAGCGTCTCCTTATAGCTCAAGCCTGCCATTCCCTGCAATATACTGGCAAATCTCTTCTGAACCCTATCCAGCTTAATAATATCCTTCCTACAACAGGGAGACCAGACTGCACACAAAACTCCAAAAGAGGCCACACCAGTATCCTGCACAACAACAATATTATGTCCATACTCCTATACTGAAAGGTCTGAGCAATGGAGGCAAGCATGCTAAATGCCTTCTTAATCACCTTATCTATATATGATGTAACTTTCAAAGAACTATGTGCCTGAACCCCTAGATCTCTCTGTTCTACAACACCAGCCAGGGTGCACTTTTGACTGTATAAGTCCTGCATTTGTTTGTTTTACCAAAATGCAATACCTCACACTTATCCAAATTAAACTCCATCTGCCACTCCTCAGCCCATTGGACCAATCAATCAAGATCTCCTTGTAATCTTAGCTAACCTTCTTATCTGTCTACCACACCACCAATTTTGGTGTCATCCACAAACTTACTAACCATGCCTTCTATATTCTCATCTAAATCATTTATATAAATGACAAACAACAATGAATCCAGCACCGATCCCTGCCAAACATGCTGGTCACAGGCCTCCTGTCCTAAAAACAATCCTCCTACCGTCAAGCTAATGTTGTATCAAATTGACAAGTTCTCCCTGAAACCCA